TGTAACACCTGTCTCTTATGCACATCTAGATGTGTATAAGAGACAGTATATGGGCATATCATGACTATATATGGGCATACAACAGTGTTTTGTCAAATGAAATTGCTTTGAACAATATCACATATTTTTGGATCCACACAAGACACTGACCCCAGAGCATCACTGCTGTTCTTGTTACCAACGCAAAACTTCAAAAGCGTCTAGCATCGCCAGTTTTGAACGAACGTTCATCGCTCTTTTTTAAGTTGGACCTCAGGGTTGCCCACACACTTACAAAACAAAATAGGGGTTTGAGCAAGGACTGTACATTACTGCCATTACCACTAATAGTGCACGTTGCATGGATGGCTCGGTTGGTTTTTAAGGATGTGTTCTAATGAACTTATGTTGTGAGTTCGAATTGCATCTTGATATTCAGTTATATTTTTTTCCAATTTTAAGAAATTTTATTTTTTTCAATTTTAAAAATATTTTGATTTTGTATTAATTAAACATCACCTAGATGTGTATAAGAGACAGATATAATAACTTGCGCCTATACCGTATTTAAGGGTGGAGGAATGCGCGGACGAGTGAGCAGTTGCTGTTGTTTATTGTTGGTTGTTTTATTGTTGTTTATTTGTATGTTGTTGGGGAGATTTATTTTTTCTCTATAGTAATGCTTTACTGAGTTTTGACAGATCTTGTAAATTTTACTTAATACTTTTTAAATTTAAACAGATTAAATTTTTGTGTTTTTTGATCATGGCATAAATAGGAAGAATTTGAAAAATCTAATTCGATGACTAATTTGTTGTTTTGGCCCTATTGTATTTTACCTAAATATATTTCATTTCTTTTTGTAATTTACTGTGAGAATTTCATCTGTTTCATCTGATTTTTTATGTGAATGCACTATGTATGTGCGTGTTCCATTGATATAAAGTGTTTTTTTATTAATAATAATTATTGTTATATATCGTACAAAAGATTTTTTTTTTTTTAGATAGCCCACTTCAGTCATTGAACTTCAAATCAGATGTTTTTAAAATCAATTTTACTGAATGTGGTTTTCTTGAATAATTCATTAGACTGAATTTCCGAGAAGGTATAAGTGACAAAGTATTTATCTATTCATGTTTATTAATCTCTTTCCTGATTAGAATTTCTTCTTGCCATTGCTCAAGCTTTTCATGCTTAGACTATGTACTATAGATAACTAAAACTAAAACTAGGTTTTGCGACCCAATTTTGGGTCGCCAAAACATTTTTAAAGGTCTTGAGACTGCTTCTGACTCAGTAAAGCATATTTCGAAACATAGTGAAAAATGCTTCTACACAGCCGTAATACAAATGACTTAAAAATAACCCATAGGTAGCTACGAAGATGAGAAAATTCATTGTCAACTCAAATCCTAGAAGAATCTACGCCCATTGTTGCACTGTACGTCGCCAATTTCTTCAGGGATTGATAAGAATATTAAAATTAATTTGACAGGAACATAGCTCACTAATAACACGACGTGCCAGTCAACAAGTAATAGTTACACCGTGTTTAAAAGGAGTTAATTCTATTCTTTTTTTTTTTAATTTGTTGGGGACGTGCGAACTTCATCATATTTTTCAATTAGTCTTTAAACCCAGTTAACCTCGTCTAATTCGACTGAATAGGTCGAAAATTCGCCATTGTGTTATTAAACTTTTGCATTAATAAACATTTCAAAATTACGAGTGTCGAATTATAATAGCATAGATTTTCCATAAAGAAAATTAAAAAAAACACTTGAAAAACAAAAACAAGGCAATGTGTAAGAAAACAGAAGCATTATGATTTCATTCGGCCCTTTTTAAACCCTGAATTTAATTATATCTTGTTTCACAATTCTAATCTTTTAATGTTCTTGTTTTATGTTGTTTCCTTTTCTTTGACTCTGGGTAAAATAACGCATAGAGCTCAGACATAGCTCAGTATTGTGCGCTCTAGAATCGGAAGACCATTACCATTATTGAGCTTGTGGCAAGTAATAGGCCAAAGTTAAGCTGCATTCACACTGGATCTACCGACATTTGGACCGCGTTTCCGATGCGCTGAACGCTAGCGTCCCTTAATCCTTATGATACTAATCCGACTTCTGATCGGTTTGGTATGCAGTGCAGCTTAATCAACACATAACATGAGAATAGCATTGTGGTATGACAATTATAATGTCTTGGGTTGCCAAAAAGAGGGCGTATGAAAGTGGGTCACCACCTAAAAATAGACGCTTTGTGAGCTCATTACAAATACTTTGTTTTTGCGATTAGTGTTTCATTGTGTGGAGAAACTGAAATTCCGTATTACATACTATATCAGATACTAATCCAAAGCTCTGTAGCGTACTCGAGTTTAATAGCTAACGATTGTGTGCAGAACAATCAAGTTCCTATATTAGTGTTTCAGCTTTAAGGGCCTACGTATTAAAGAATTGCCACTGTCTTTAAGACTAACTTTATTCCATGTGTCCCGTGTGCAACAGTGTCTGTGTATTATGTGAAAACGAAGGATGTGGTATAGTCAGTAGGTGGACAAACCATCACCTTTATCCTATGTTATATTACTACTGTATATCCTAACCTAAAAAATTCATATTTATCACTACACTTGGGGTTGTCACTGTCACAAATACTCAGATACTTGAGGTTAGTAATGCTCACAGAAATCGTCTGTATTTTGCAGGAGTGAAAAATCATTTTTTTTTTCAGTGAGTTGAATCTTATAGGCCTACAAATTGTATGTACAAATTGTGTTTTGATTAAAATGTTTTCTTTGCTTCTGTTTTTTCATTATTTTTTCTATTTATATTTTAAATGTAATATCTAATAATTCGTTTACAGTAAGTCCGCACTGTTATAAATATAATGTAAAATAAATAAATATATTAACAGAATTATGTTATTTACTGTAACACAGTATCAAAAAGTAGTGCATGCAATTTAAACTATATTTATATAAATGTTAAACCGCCAGTGTTATATAAAAATTAATTAATATAATTGTAACATAGCAGTGTTGATATCACATGTATTTTATTCTAGAATATTCTAGTATCAAATTGTGTTGCTCCCTTCTTTATATAATGTTTAAGCCTGCACTGTTATAAAATATAATAATAATGCAACAAATGATTATAGTAATACTATACCTATACAATATACATCAAACCAGATGTTTGTAACATCACATGCAATATTGTTTTGTAATGGTTGCTTTGGTTAAGCTTGCACCGTTATAAATATAACAACAAATAAATATTGTATACATATATTAATGACTATAATAACCAAGTACCGATAAGTTACGATTGATTTAAATTCAGACAGTTTCTTAAAAGTAAGCGTACAGACATTTATGTAGGCTTACCACAGCCTACCACATGTAAACAAAACAACAATAATTATTATACTTATACTATTGCTATTAAAATACATTGGGAAGCAGTGTGTATCACTCGTAAAAAATACCACACAATAATTAGAGTAACCTGAGGGGCATTTTTGTCACATGTAAATGAACAACTAAGAATTAAAGTAGCTTGGGGGAGATCGTATATTTTCAATTCAATTTCTTTTATTGCTGCAAAATGCCATTTTGCAACAATATCTTTACATCCGTTACCCATGT